ATACAAAGAATACCTACTATACTTATTTAAGATGGTTTTAGTCCGACACAATTATTTCGGTTCAATGTTTCATCTTAAAAGATTTGGTCGTCTGTTGTAGGCTGTCTGGTGCATTATCTACAATGATCTCAGCCCAGAGAGTTGAGAAAGAAAACCGCTTACCCACGAGGTGGCGGTGTGACCTGAACTATCAGTCAACGAAGTGTCGGAGTCTACGGGTGTTTTTTTTAGTACAGTAAAATAAGACGTTCTGCATTCCTTCAAGGGTCAGTTAAGATGGTGGCTGAGACGTGACCGCCATGCTGATACCAGCTCCATGGGGTTACAGGTGAGAGCTGGGTCCACGAGAGGGAGGGAGGCAGATTGAATGTACCAACTCGTTCAGTAAGGCACTCAGCGATGCTGCAGTTTAGCAGGGTGTTAACACCTCCAATGAGTACCCGACGGGCTCCCAAACAGAAAACTGGCGGTTGTTCAACGCAACATCTTGACGGAAGATCGATTACATGCGGTGCACTCACGAAGCTTGGTCAGGTTTACAAGGCGATGGGTTTGTGGTGGACACGCTCTAACGGGGCAAATGCTGCATTTCGATTGAGTAAAATTTCCAACGCATTTTTATGCAAACATTAGTCCGTTGCTCCTAAACCCTCGAAAAATTAAAAATTCCGGGCTCAACGTAAGTATATGCACAACAAGAACATTTATGCAGAATAGAAGTTATGCCGAAAATTCAAGGCTCTCAGGCTGGTTGCTTGTTTTAAATCGTTTAAGTAGTAAGAGGATAATAAAAATTATTTCGGCAGTTAATGGGCTCATTTCATGATAAAGCCTGGGGAGAGTAACAAATGCTAATTACTTTTGAGGAAATCGAAGGCGGAATTCATACCATGGGTCACTGTCAAAGGAAACGCGTTTTAGCTGAACAACTAGCATAATGTCAGTTCATGATAGCGTTGTCCAGCTACACAACCTAAGCCATACTTTGCCCTGTGTACATAGCTGTGGAGAAATTTCGGCAGTGCAATTTTCTTCGAACGGGAAAGTAACTAGTATTCCGATTTTTCGCACTGATCCTACAATTGGACTATAAATTCCCCGGTACTTTTCTTTTTCCTTCGGCACCATATTTACTTTCAATCTAAGTGACATACAAATTCCGATAAAAGGCAAAGAGGTAGCTGGAAAACAAATGTATCCCACCTTTTTCAGTCTTAACTAAAGCGCATGTACTACCTTGGCTGATCTGATTATACGAGTGTGGTTCTCCGATTGCTCAGTCTAGTGAGAACCACTTGCCTGCCTAAATGGTGTCCCTTTTCTGCGGCTATTGTGCGTTAACGAACAGCTTCCGATAAGTAACGTTAAGACGTCATGCGCATAAGTTAGAATCAGTTCGCCTATCTGAGTGTTACGAGATTCTTCCACTACCCACCTTACACATTGACAACTCGCATTCGCACCAGCCACCGGATAATAAGTCTGTACTTGCTACTAGTTACATTATAGTAAAAAGAAATGTGTCGACCAAAAGCTGATGACTGTGTCAGTTTGATGACCAACATTTTCCAAGCCGATCCGTTCGCTCGGGAGCTATTATTGAAATTATGAGAACCAGACATGCTTGCCCTAGCTTATCCTGGCAAAACCTTTAGCTAATTACATGCTCATAGATTTGAAACCGTCTGAGGGGCCTAAACACGAAAATCTTCAAAAACCGAAAGCACCCCTTGGTTAAATATAAAATTTGGAGAAGACGTAATTTGCTACCAAATAATGTTTTGTTTTGTGCGTGTTTTCCATAAAATGCACTTGAATGCATAAGCATATCGAATTTCAGACGGAAAAAACCATACCGCACGAGTAGTCAGATTGTATGGAGTGCGATTTTTACGGGCGAGATGAGAGAAGCGCATTTGAAAGCCGGCACGCTGACGTGACTGATATATCTTGGGATTATTCTGCGCGATAATCAGTATTACAACTCACCTAAGTAAGTCTTTCTAATCGAAAATTCATTTCAGAATTTCAGTTAACGCTAATGAAACACGTCAAATATTACAAACTAGTGAAGAGACCAATTAAATGAACAGCTAGACGGAGACCCAAACCTCTCCTCTTCACGGAACTCGATGTTCTAGAGACGGCAAAGAAGAAGTGGCTACTATAATCCCTTCGTGCTTGATTACCGGTTGCGCTCCGCCATTAGACCACCCCGCAGGAGTTTCAGATTGGGAATCCCATTCAAAAATCCAAGAGTCGAACGCGGTCCGGCAATTAGACTAGGTCAGGTAACACCACTTTAATGTTACTTTAAGGACATTGGTAGAGGGGCGCTCACCGATCGTTCTTACGGAACTGACTCGTCTCGTTGTGCCTTACGGGTTCTCACTCGAGCCCAACCAGCAGCCGCAGGATGTTAGAATCAACGAAGACAAGGGCGAATGGAATGGCCATTTCTGGCCTAGTAGCCGTCATCAGCCGGTCATACCTAACCCCGAAGTGTGGAACATCTGGGGCTCGAACTCGCGACCTGTTAGTTAGAAGTCTTACGCCTCTAGCTATTGGACCCGTTGTCCTGTCGGTTCCGATCGTGAATATACAACGGGCCCGCGGCTAGAGGCGTTGGACTTCTAACTAACAGGTTCCGAGTTTGTAGTGGATAGCCATAGTGGCAACGTTGCGCCTCTCGCTAGCGACAGCCTGCTACGGCACGCACGTCTGTCCGGCTTCGATTTGTCTCGTTGCAATTCACTGTCTGCACCACGCACCTGGTCGATTCTCTGCCTGCACCATGCGAGGCTTGCCACTACCCTCGCATGGGCTCGGAGCCAATCAACGCACCTACTATCGCTGATTGGTAAGACAGGCGTAGACAGCCCAGACCACTAGCGTAAACAATCTGTCACGACACTTTGCAGCGGTGACCTTCGGCGACACACGGCTCGTCGCTCTCGCGGACGCCGCCTCCGCGGCGCCGGACGCATCCTCGTCCGGTTGCCAACTTTCCCCTTCACTATTCTGCACAGAATAAAGTGTCCTAACCAAATGGCGTCCTGCTTCTTACAACATGGGATATGGCCTGGATTTGTGGCGTACTGAGCGCACACCATCATCGCTTAGCCGCTACAAGTTCGAGCCCCAGGTTTTCCACACTTGGCGGTTGGGTATGACTGACTGACGACGGCAAATACACCAGAAATGGCCTTTCCAGTCTCCCTTGTCTTTGTCGGTAATAATATTTTAAGGATATTGTCGTGATATCAAAATTGGAAGCTGAATTCAATTTGATCCCTCCTAGTGGCAATGTGAAGCCGGACTTGGAAATTACGGAGGCAACTAGGAGAGGCAAATTTCCCACTTACGCGCACAGGAGTTAAATCAACCTTTTCTGAAAAAAGCGGGACTCCCATCGCAGCGCAACCGGCCTGCCAACTAAGACTCCTACGTCGTGCGGGGAAACAGTTGTAGTATGCTAGGAGGCATTTGGACAACGCAAAGGAAAGTTAACTTTTGATTAGACCCTTGATACTTAATCTGTCTAAGGTTACAATTCCACAGTCGGTCAAAGTAGCAGAAACCAGTAGTTCGACCAGACTGGACACAGACGCTTCACGTGAAAAGGGTAATCAAGCCACAAATGTCAAGGCCGTTTCCTAAAACGAAACAACCTAGGACATCAGCAAAGGCAGTTTTTCTTCCGTCACTCTAACACATCAGAAATATCCTAAGTGAACCTAGCATTTGAACTACAGGAATGCCTTTACAAACGATGAATGTCTCCCAACAGTGACAGATTGATAATTTCCTTGTCAATTCCTGCTCTTCATGGTTGCCTTCTCATTTGGTTAACATGGGTGGACAAGATGTGGTTATGTAGCCCCACCTGACGGACACAATACTGTTGGGGTTGGGGGTAGGAGTTAGAGCAAATATTTCACAACCACTCAAAGTACAACCGCGCATTCTCAATAGCTCTTCCCTTGCATACAAAGACTTGAACTCGTCGCCTGTGCGCCCCCCGGCCCCACCCGCAAGAACCCCTTTACCACCGGTCCCGTCTTACAAGTGGCTGGGGTTTATTTACTTCAGGTGGGGTTACATGAGCACATCTGACCAATAGCTGTATAAACAAACACTTGGTCAGAACTAAGTTTTTTTCTGAGTAATTTGTTGCTGGAATCAGAAACGTTCGAAGCAGGGGCATTAGGAACTAGCTGTGGAATAGCGTTCAATAGCTGCCGAATTGCAGCGTTTTGTACTTTACAGTGGATAATGCTTAACGCCGCGCTACTTATTTGTACAGTTGATTGGACATCCATGATTCGACACACAACAGCTGGAGAATCCGACGCGTCGGACTTGCTCTTTAATAAGAAAAAAATCACTCAGATCACTTATTACACTAAAGCACACCATACTAATTCGCTTCGGAAATATACTATCCTAAAAAACCATTTTACCAAACACTGAAAGAATCCGATAAAAACGCAATAAATAGTTACTGTTTCTCAGTGGGAAAGCCCATAATACGTGAATATTTGATTGAAATAGGGGGTGAAGTTAGGATGTATGACCGGGGTAGGTTTACTATCCAGAACTGCCTACTATATTTGCATAAGTAGGCGCTGTCAGGTACGGTAAGTAAGGTAGGGAGAACTGCAAGGAAAGCTGTTTAGACACTGTCGGCATCTGAAATAGCGACTGAAAACTCGGAAAAACCGCCAAAGCCGAATGCCAGCACGATATGCAAAGTTTTTATTCGAACAACTTGCCTAGAGACGGAGATACAAACAAAAGCAAAAAGAGAGCAAGGATCAGCGTGGAATGCCTCACGACACGGCCAGCGCCCGAGGCGGCATGCTTCAAGGTTGGCCAGTAGAACTCCGTCAAATGTGTACAAAATGCCTAAAACAGTCCGATCAACGACCTAGACTGTCGATATCACGTAGGTTGGCGCACAGTTACAGTGCACAAGCCTCGGTGCCGAAGAGCAGGGGTTACTTAGGTCTGTGATGTAGAAGATCCAGTACAGAGCGGAAGAAGTCCCCAGGGAGTTTTCCGGATGAGGAAAAGCGGGCAATCAAGTCCAAAATCTCGACCCGTGCGGTTTTTTCAAAGTCTGCGTAGACTGAAGGGAGGTCGAGTTCCACAAAGACGTCCTTCACGGCAGCAACGGAGGTCGCGTCAGGAAGGCCGTAGTTTTCCTGAACGGAGTAACAGGAATAAATGGGCAATAGTAATCGCAAACGTTTCAGGTCACTAACAACACGAAAACCAGGATCGGATGGAGAGGGGGGGTGAATGGAAGTGTAAACAAGATAATCATCCGCGACGGAAATAAAATTGGTCGAAAATAGATTGAAGCCTAGGTCTCGGATGAGAATTTAGTCGATCGGTGTATCGAACTGGCGCTGAGGTACGGAGCCCTGCGCAGCTACCTCCAGACCTGCGTCGCTGATCGCTGATTAGCAAATGACCCCGTATAACTATACCCTACGTAGGTGCTGCAGTCATCTCTGACTTCTGTGCTTTGACAAGTGAATCAAGGGCCAAGTTAACAGGACAGACGGAACGCGCGAGATTTGGGATCTTTCGAACCGTTTTAAGAGAATGTATTGGAATTTTGAATTGCTTGGAAAAAAACACTACACAAGAAGCATGACATTAGCTAACTTGGCAAGGATTCAGTTTATGCGCAGGATGAGAAAATCACAACCTTTGTTTAACAAATTCACCAGCATTTTAACCTTCCTGCTTTACTGGCAGACGGATGCACTCCATCTACCATAATTCCGAGTATTTTTATACTACCTGACTGCTCTCCGCGCCGAACTTTTTTTTGCAAAATTGAGCTTCCCTCTGACTAAAGAATTACGTGTGGGGTGTGCTGCAAAATGAAACAATGTAGACATTCCAGCATTACCGGTTCCTCGGGGCGGTACAGGTCAGCGAATGTCATCCTGCCGAAGGGTCGACCAAAAACTGTGCAGAACAATATCTTCTTCCAAAAATACAGAGTAGGTAGATCTCCATAGTTTCTCATTACCGCTAACTTTTTTAGGACCCAGATCCCAGGTAATTAATCAAACTTGCGTCATGAAGGCCGTCCTATCGCGGGTAGTATTGAGAAATAAGATCAGATAATCTATGCATACTGCTAGAATTCTTGATTTAAGGCAGAAGCACCATACCGAAACCCGTAAAACATTTACCCGCAGTTTACGGTAAGGTATCAGATGGAATGAATCACTAATTGAGGTCACAAAACTGATTGGCATGAAACACAGTCCCAAATATCATCGCACACGACAGTATGCCGGCTTCTGACATAGCCTTTTCTGGTCATCCGCGTCAAAAGACACAAATTAAGACGTATGAATTTTTAAGCGAATATTCAGTGCTTGATGGCATTAGACCAAAGAGCAAACCTAGCGTACGAAAAACTACCCTATCATACTTGTTCTACAGGAGATAACTGTTTCCGAAAATTCAACCTTTGGAGAAAAAAAGAGTTTTGGTTAGAAAAGTTTACAAAGAAATATACATTTGGAAGTAGGACTTGTATTTTTCCTCCTCTCTTCAGGATTCCAAAGCGACACGCTACGCACATTCTCTAAAACAAATTCCTAAATTATCGATACCTATATGAGTAGGCGTTCTAGTGCTCACAAAGCATTAAAATATGGACTCGACGCGTTATATGCTTTGAAAGGGGTAGTAATAAGAGTGAGGAGTTAGCTACACTAGTCTCGTAATTTAGAACTTTCAAAAGAGAAAATGCGTCCTACCATCCTGTAAAATAAAAACACTTCCTATAAAACGAGTATGTGAAACGAGTTCTTGCTCAGTTTTGGCAGGAACGACGATTGCATTAGCACGTGCATCGAAAACCAACTAAAAGAAGACAAATTGTTTAATCAACTATTATTTTTTCGAATTTAACTTGCACAGGTGGCTTGAAAGGTGATGAATCAAAATCCAGCACCTTATAGCGTGTTACGCAACCTTATACGGTTTTCTCTGTTTCTTGTTTCAACAGCCGCATGCAGTCAACCCTCCCTTACGTGGAAAAATAGCAATCGATGCCGCACGAACTTCGATGTACACTGTACATCTTTATTTACAGGTGAAATAGTGACTTGAATACATAGCACAGTAAGGTCCCATCAAAAGGCTTCAGAGAATTCAGCCTGATCAATTGCACCAGTGCTGCGTACTTCGGTGCCCCTGAACACCCATACGCAAGTAGCAGATACGGGCAGTCTGTTTTCTGGATCCTGTCGCAGCGTCCGATACCGCATTGTAGCCAAAGCAGCAGTTAAATTATTTGTTGGCAAGATCTTATTTCGTAGCCGTAGGTGTTAGGGGTTGGAGTTAGGGCTAGTCTACTGCAGGTACGGCAACGAAATAAGATCCGACCGATTTTTGCTCTTTTTCCGGCTGATTTTCGATGCATAAGTCAAGAAAATCATTGTTCCTACAAATGCTGAGCTAGAATTCATTTCTCACACTGTCTTTTTGGGAAGCGTTGTGACTTTACAGAATAGTAGAGAACGATTTCATTTCTCAAGGTATGTGATTACGGAGATTTTTGAGACCTTTGCCACTACCCTTCTAAAAGTTTTAAACGCTTTCGGTATATATTGTAATGTTTTGTAAGCACTAGAAGACCTCCTCATGGATACAGGAATTTGTTCTGGTGAAAATTCACAGCGTGTTGCTCTGGAACCCCGAACGAGAGGGAAAATGCAAGTCGTGCTTAAAAATATACATTTATTTGCCAACTTTTAACACTGATACACTTCCTTCCTGCAGAGGTTGAATTTTCAAAAAACAGTGGGTGAGATAGCCCACTACCACTGTATCATTCCAGCCCTGCCTATTTGCGGCCAGGCATTAGAGGAGGCCGCACTCCTTTGTCCACTTCAGTTAAACATGCCAGTGGCCGAAATCTCAGTTTCGACAGTGTTGACTACGTTGACGACTTCAAGCAAGGATGACCTACAGAATGCAAACACGGGCGGTCGAGGTCGCCGTCGGGTTGCATGAGTCGAAGTGGTCAAGGATTGCATTCAAGGCTGGGAGAGGGGGAAGCTATGTGGGTTAGAAGTGCCAGATCGAGGAAGTGGTCATCTGCTGGAGTCGATGCTGCCTCAGGATTTTAGCGTTTACGGGTACACAGTCTATTCCGAGTCCTGCGGGAATTGTGTGCGTCGGATACCAGTTAGAGAAGCTTTCGCAACAGTTGTGAATTCCGGGTTTACAAGGAGAAAGCTCGGAGTATTAGATCAGCATGGCTTGAGGACAATCCTTAGAGTGCAGAATATGAAATTCGCCTCAAATGGGGCAGTTTGCACTTCCTGAGTTAACCTTATGGGTGTACACCAAACCATCCAAGACCAACAGCTGGAGTGGTTTGAGCGCATCGGTCGCTTATTATCTAAGTGGTGTTGCCCCAACTCCAACGTCGAACACGAGTGACCAGCCCCAACTTTGGCTCCAACTATGAGACAAAAATGAGAGGAAGTTCATGGACCCTCTGCAATCAGTGTTTACGATTCAGTGAGCGAGTCGAGTTCACCAAGTGTGTTGTCAGAGATTACCCGCGTGGGGGAAGGGGGGTCGTCGCATGGGCCATAACTGCAGATGTCGAGACCAAACATGATCACAACCCTAAGACAAAAATCATCGGCTACTCAATACTTCCTTTATGAATTAGCGGACTACCAAAACAATGCCGATCGCGGGGACGAATGCCGAGCTCAAAGGAGTCTGTGACGGAATAAATTGGGCTATCACATAGATCAAGTCTTCAAAGTTAAGGGTAGCTCTAGGAGGCGACTGTTCGCGGGGCTCCAGATCGGGCCGCAAAGCACAAGGGGACGAGCATGTCACATGACCCGATCGATTAACGCACCTCCAACACAGTCAATATTCCCGATCGCAACCGACAGGGCAACGAGCCAGTGGCTTACTGACTGGAGCGTTGGGCTCATTAACGCTCTATAACTCAAATCTCAGGTACTCCCAAACCTGGGATTGGGTAGGGTTGGCTAACGACGGCCAATTGGGCCAGAAATGATCGCCCCTGTCTCTCTTTTCTTTGTCAGTAATCTCCTCCTGCCTATAAATGCTTGCGCATCCAAGTGGCTGCCTTAGTTATTAGATGCATTACAACCACGCGGTCAACCCCACAGAGGTTAAAAATAGTTCCCAAAAATTGCAGGTAACTGCGACAAAAGTGCTTTCGAAAGTGTTTACGAAAGAGACTAGAGGCATCAAACTGTCACCTTATTGAAAAAGTCGTTAGTTGGGATCATTATTGATGCATCTCGCTTATGTGGACCAAAAGAGCGCGAAGACATTGGAAAGTTACAGTACAAATTGTCTGTTCATAACTAAACATAAAGATACATACACACTTGATGCAGTCAGTGATCTTACTAGCTGAAATAGTTATTCACACAAGCTACAAGAAGCAGACAAGTCGAAGAGAAGATACTGGCTATAAGATGGGCGCGGAACTTCGACTCCAAAGCTCATGCCAGGCGATCTACCTGCTGAGCTATTGCAGCTATACCTGCCAGCCTTGCTTATGAGGCGAGATTATTGTGATACAAGACTGTTTTATAGGGACAAAAAGTATAGTCTCCTACATGCACAGAACGGTGGCAGACGACCAACGCGGTCTATGATTTTAACAATTGGAACACTCCCTTCAGGTAGACTATGAGGCAGCTGGGGGCTCAAATAGCCAGACGACCTCTGCTGCAGAGAGTTAAAGTTCAGGAGGAGGCTGCCGGTTGTGATGTAGTGAATTCTGCAGTATAGAACCGACCCAGACAGATACTGGATGATTGGAAGATACCGACGAACTTCGTTAAACTGTACCGATGAACACCCGCGCGACGCTTTTGCACGTACGTCGTGTCGACCTACAGTAGGTGGGATAACGCATGAAATGTCAGCCGAAATTTCGAAATGCGTTCCCGTTTCGAAAAGATTGATTAAGTAGAGTTGTAAAACTAATCATAATGCAGCATAATTCTATAATAATCCAGTTACCTCAGGATGTAGGCTTTCGAATCAACTTCTTTCCGACTGCATGCAAGAACTATACTCAGCAAAAAAATGACACGCAATTTTCTCATTAGTTCTCGATGTCCTTGAAAATGCAATTGTATTTCATGGAAAACATGCATACAAATATTGATTCTTTTGCTCATTCGGCAGAAAATGGCGTCTGTTTCCAATTTCATACTCAAAGGAAAGGTATAATTCGGTTTTAAAGAAGTGTCTAATTGTGCGGTTTTTTAATACCGTGAAATGGCCATCCATAAAACGTCATGTCTTTGCATTTACTAGTGTAGTTTGTTAAGTAAACAATATGGCTCAAATCCACTGCTAAATTTTATGAACCCTACATGCTCTGCTCTTAATGCCGTGGAAAAATGTATGGTTTTCCATAAGTAGAAAATATTCGGCTTGTAGTTTGGTAACCCTGAATGCAAGTGTAACGGCAAGTCGGGTTCAAAATTATTCGGGAATTGGAAGTTCTTGAAAACCGAATTATATCCTTACTTCGAGTATCAAATTGAAATTTTCTACCAAAATAGTGAAAGAATGAATATTTTCATGCATGTTTTCCATGAAATAAAATTGAATATTTAAGGGCAGCCGAAATCAGTGAGAAAAATGCATGCTACTCAAACAGTCATTTTTGCAGAGTATAAATCTTGCATGCAGTCGGAAGGAAGTTGGTTCGAAAGCCTACACCCTGAGGTAACTGGATTGTTATAGAATTATGCTACATTATGATTAGTTTTACAACTCTACTTAATCAATCTTTTCGAAACGCGGACGAATTTCGAAATTTCGGCCGACATTTCCTGAGTTGGCCCGCATACTGTACGATCGGCGTGAGACGTCAGCAAAAAGCTTGAAACGGCTGATGTCCCGGTCTTCCTGCATCATCTCTGACTACAAACAGTGGCGACAACAGAGACCGACGCAGTCAAAACCACAACGAAGTCGCTTTCAAACTCACATTTGTCCATCAAATACAATTCATTCCAATTACGCGAAAGGATTCTTATCCGCAACATCTGTTCCCAGAAAGCCCTACAGTGAGAGCAGCGGGCAAGCCGTCAAGCCAAATAATAAAAGGACGGCTGGACCAGACAGTCCCAACACACAAAATCATGCATACAACGTGAGGTTTGGGCGACGAGGACATGTGAGGCTTGAATGTCCGTTTCCGTGTAGACGGACTGTCTATAGCTTTGCCATTCACCGCGTCCACGCCCGTCTCCAGTCGTCTTAACACACTCTTGCCACCAGAGCAAGGCGGATGAAAGAGCCGGTGTGCAAGTCTGACTCATCATAAACAACTTCACGCGCATGTCAACCGGTGCTGCAGCTACTCCGCGGTGGACATGGCGGCTTCTGACGGTCGAAGTGTCGCGGACTTAGACATAGTGGGTAGGCGGCTTAATTAACATCCTCGGCGAGAGGACAATGGCGACAGCATCCGCAATCTATTTATGCAGAGGTCTCGGTCGCCGCAGCCAAGTTTATCCTCATATGGAGACGCCATGAGCTCCAGGAGGAAGAACAACCCGACAGAGATAAGTAATCTAACTGCTCCGCAGACGGAGTCAGCCAAGCTAAAAACCACAGAACTCACCTCAAGGATGCGCAGCTGGCTTGCAGAGGCTTTTTCAATGGCGGTGGCAGCCAACCAGCTGCATTTGCCTTCTGCAATATCGGTACCCACCTTGCCAGTGACGGTTGAGTCGCCGAAGACGTCCAAGAAGTCATCCTGCAATGATAGACCAGGTAACAACAGTGGGTAAATTTCAGAGTGGCCGGAAGCTGGCATCTAGGGGGTCACGACAGCTCCGGTGACCAGAGCAGAACAGCGCGGTTCGCTCGGAAGGCGTCCTAAGGTGCCCATAAGCCCGTAAGGCGCAACGGAACGAGTGAGTTCCGTAGCTCGATCGGCGAGCGCCCTTCCGCCATCCCGGTGTACATGCTAGATTTTAGTTGCCTTGAAATAACATGCTCGAGGAAAAACCGATAATCCTGAAATTGCATGCATTGTGGGCGGCTAATCAAACTGTCACCAACTGTTAGTCCAGAGGAATCCAAATTCCACGTCGCGGTGCCACAGCGTGCGACCGTGTGGCAGCCAGACATCATGACCGGTCTGGCGTCATTGTTCCAGACCTCGCTGCCTCAAGGTCATTCATCCCTTGCAGCGAGCCGTCCCAGACGAGATGACCTGAAGTCACACAACCAACAGCTCGGGCATACCTGCGTCCGCGCAGCCGCAGCTGCCCATGCGGCCACTTGAACGCGCCAGCCCCAGCAACCAGCGGAACAAGCCACTGGGACACCACCCCTCGGCAAATGCAACACACGCTGATTGGACACCACTTGAGCTTGGCCCACGAGCCTACAAAAGCGGCTGCCACCACTATCTCAAGGACTCTCAGGCGTGACTGGACGCAGTCAACATCAGCCCTGGCTTCGCCAGTGGCCACTGCTGCCTGAGAGGACAACTCCGGGTTCTGTGCACAATAAACCCCTTATTCTGGTCCCCTTTGTCTTCTCCCTTAAGACATGGAATTTGGCCTGACGATTGTAGCTCACATGCTGCACATATTCTCTCTGCTGTGCCGCTACAACCGATCCTATGAAATGTTGGCCGAAATTCTAAAAAGTGTTTTTGATTGGTAAGGGTCATTTAGGCGGGACTGTAAAATTAATCATCATGCGGCATAATCCTACGATATTTCGGACTCGCCAGGATGTTGGCTCTCAGATATGCTTCTTTTTAACGTCCTGTAAAGATGAAACCCGCGAAAAATGACTACCCACGTAGTATCCATGTTTAACATTGATTTTCGTGGCCTTCGAAGTGTGGGTGTATTTTATAAAGCGCATGCCCAAAAATATGCTTACTTCCACTAGTTTGGTAGCGAATCACGCCATTTTCACATTTTATCCTCACAGAAAAGATGTATTTAGGCTTTGAAAAAGTTTTCCAGTTGCCGAATAATTTTGAGCCAGATCAACCGTTGCATTAGCGTTTAACGATTTCAGTCTACAACGTGCATACTTTCCGCGTAAAAAATCATATATTCCTACATGCCTTTAAGAATATACGATAGAGTTCATAAAATTTTGCAATGGCTGCGGACCATGCTATAAACTTCATGAAGAGCACTGATAAACGGACATGTGCGATGCTGTATGTACGGACATCGCACGGTCTCAAAAATCTCATTTGAAACTTTCTTAAAACCGAAAGATAGCCTTTCTTCGAGTATAAAATGTGAAGGCAGCGCGATTTTCTACTAAACGTGTAGAAGAAAGCATATTTTGTGCATGTTTTTTTATAAAATATACTTGAGTTGCGAAAAGCTCCATAGCAGTAATCAGAAGACGCGGTGACGAGCATACGTAGCTTTCGATAAATTCTCGTCGGACCATATAATTGTACTGGCCCGACGAGAATTTATCGAAATATACTTGAATTTGTTAGACCATCGAAAATCAACGTGACAAATGCATGGTAAATAAGTAGTCACTTTTCGCCAAGTGTGGCTCCTGCAGGTTGAAAAACGTGTATTAAAAAGCCGACATCCCGGCGAGTCCGAAGCATTGCAGGATTTTGTCGTATGATAATCAGTATTACAATCCCGTTTAAGTAATTCTTTTTGATCGAAAACGGATTTCAGAATTTCGGTCAACATTTCATGAGATCGGCCACTCACTGCAACAGCTGCCGACCTCTATGATTCTTACGTCGTGCGGTCGACTTTATCAAAAAACGATCTCGCATGAAACAGGAGTGTTACCTGCGCCTGGAAGTATTCGCCTATGCGAAGCAGTATAGTCTTTGCATTCTCCAGGAGTTTCTCGTCCTTCACACCTGCCTAGAAAGGAGAAAATAAGACGGGTCAGAGCCGGGTCTTAATCAGGCTGGCTAGGGATGGCACTGTTAGGGGTACGACTAAATAAACTGGAAAAGATATGGTGCAAGGTGGTATACAGGCGTGGACGACGTATGAGGGCTTATGCCGCCAGAAACTGCGTACTCAGATTCCACGCACTAAAAGTTTATTAGCTAGAGAAAGTCTATGGGAGTAAAATACAAAATCGTCCATTATAAGGGTAACTCTAGACCAGCAACGAGGTTGATCAGAGACGAAATCAGCAGCACCTCAGCCGAAAATGAAGTTAGCGAGCAATGAATTTGAAGAACCACCCCACAGACGCAGCAGGCCAGTACCAACGTGGTGGTTGCCGCAAACCACGATACTTCTACCACCGTCGCCTTCGCACGGTCACGGTGGCGAGAGTAAAACACTAATCCGAAAGCTGGTGGACCAGTTCGGAAGGTCGCCTTGGTTATTACAATACACAACAGTCCTACCTGTTCGACAAGTCAGACAGACAATGAAATTTCCCAGAGCCTCTGCCTTCTTTCTTTGCAGAAGTTTACGGTGTGATGAGTTCAGAGGTAGCATTTTCGTCCACAGGGCAAGGGCACGCCCTGGGTAATCTGCGCTACCGAAAGGGATGGGTTCATAAATGGAACTACCCAAATGGCTCATCCAATCCGGAGACGGAAACTGCAAAATTACCCTGTGCTCTAACGATGGCAGTCACCAACCGCTAGTTTTGTGGACTGCAGGTGGTCGGGCGATTGTGGCCGGCGGAGCTACACCGCGGCCTGAGGATTTGACCTAAGAGGCGACAGATAGCTACTGAGTGTGTGACAACACATGACGGCGGCTTGACTAGAAACAAGTACGAACAGCCAGTGGGAGAAGCCGTTTGCGTGGGACATTACTCCCGCGCCTGTCACGAGATCAGATCCACATTGAAGCTGTCAAAGTAGACACTACCCAGCCGGGCCCAGTGTCATGACACACTCAAGGAGACTGAAAACGGGGGAGGACGCAGGTGACTGACGTGGCGTGGACCTGCGCCCCCGCGTACCACCACACCTCTCGGTCTGCACACAAACGACCAGGATTTCACACGGCAGGAGGAGAAGGCGATTCAGGCACCAACGGAGTGGGAGTGATTGTAAAGGGTAAAACAACCCTAAAATCCATTTGGTGCATCAGATGATCGGTTAGCATCCTTCCTGTGCCAGTATGGAAACATCCCCCCGGCGTGTTTTGCTTTTCAGTCGTATGGTTACCTCATGCACTTCATATGCACCACGGTGAACTCGACGGCAGCGTCAACCCTCAGAGCCTGGCCATTCACCGCCCGCCCTTGCTTTTTTGGCGACACCTAATTTCCAGATAAGCTCACAAATACGGTCTTCCCGCCAGCTGCAGAAAAGCGTTTCCTGAGGAGACAAGCTCCAGCAAAATAAGGGCAGCACCTCTCCTATGGATCGACTGAGAATACCAAAAAAGCCAAACATTTACTGGCATTTCAAGGACGTCCTGAGGCTCAGAAACTGCGATTGTCACAGGCGGGAAAACAGTAGTCATGTAGAACAAGACTTCAATCCAGAGACCGGACACGGTACGCTTACTATTCCTATCCTTCAAATTTGTAGTCAGTGAACACCCTTCCAACGTGCGGCCCCTCTAAAATTTTAATTCCGACCGGTAGTACACTGTACAGCTGTTCCGAAAGTAAGCCCGGCTTGTACAACACAATCGACGCAACGCCAAAGGGTACACGTATCTAAGGACAACACTTAATGAGGGCAGAGGAGCACTGTTCAATACTTCGCCGCGGATCCCCACTGACTGGGGAAAACTTGACCAGTAAAGGACGAGGACTACTTTATTTAAGCATTTCCCCTCTTATTCTTCATCATTTGTTCGTTCACATGCATCCCCGGAGACCACGTATCCCTTGGCTTACAGGTTCAAAAGTATGGCAGTTCGACCGTCGATTTCGACGATGTTCACCGTGTGCTCCACACGGGTGTGCTCCAAAGGAACGGTGACTTGTGCGTGGATTAGCTTACAGTGATGGTAGACCTGCGTACCATCTACCGCACTTTGCCCTCCTTCCCCATCCGGGTCCGGTGCCATGACCAAGTCAAGAAAACCGGAGGCTGGGGAGGGCGCAGGTGACTGGCGCGGCGAGAGCCTGCACCTAGACATACAACAAATATAGGGGTGGGGCAGATCGGATCCAAAATGGCGCGGCGTGAGCCTGCAACTGGGTTTAACATCGCATCCTGAATGTTGACATTTGTTCTGGGTGCGCATACCCAATAACGCCTGTCAGACTCCGATCTAACCCCCCCCCCGTGTTGGTGCAGCGCATCTACCGTGAGGCCCGTTTTTTTTGGGGGGGGGGTGCAAGATTAACAAGTATACTAGTAGTTCAACTGCTGCAAACGACGACATCCACCACGTGTTTAAAAAAACGAGCGCAGTACCGATGACTCACCCACCTTGCTCTGATAGCAAGAGAACGTGAAGACGACCGGAGGGGGGCTGGGCTGATAAGGCAGCAACTGTCCACACGCACTCCCACATGACCTGGTCCTCACATGTGCCCCGACTCAGAGGGGGCGGTTCGGAGCTCGCACGCAGGAAACAGCGATAAAAACCACACCGAGGGGCCATGGCAGCGTTAATCCCAGTCCTATAGCCATCCCGAAAACACACCATTGGAGGTTGCGTTATCCAGCCAGTTGGTAGCCTCTCAAGCCACGAATCCTAGCGCGTTCTGATAGATTCGAGCGTTAACAGAGGCGAGTTCCAGGAAGTAGTCGCGGAAAAGGAGACGCGATCGCTGGAACCAGTGTTACACCAGCCTGACGTTTCGGATTCCCACTCAAGTCCATAATCAGAGACAGTCAGACAAGGGTAGTGGATTGCCCAGGTGCTGCAGTATTTATCGAAAGTAGTTACTAGGCCGCTATATGCCTATCACAGCTGATGGCTCCCGAGTGCATCACAGCTCGACTGGCCAGGTGTTGAAGTACACCGTTGGCGTGCAGTTACTAGCGTCTGTATGCCGGTCAAGATTAGCGGTTCCGATACTCATCGTACGCCGCCGAGCGGCTGACTACCGGATTTCGTCATCTGTGTGGACTCTTGGGTGATTTGGACCACCGAAATTGATACCGCCGACAGTGATTATCTGCATGTTCTCCTCACGGATATCTACTTTGCCTAGGCCAAGTCTCAACGCCGAATACGGGGAAGGGGGGGGGGGTCGTTGTGCTTGTTGATTGAATGAGGACTGGAAAACCATGACACGAGCAGTTCACAGTTCACGCGGTTGTTGCTTCTAGCAAGACGTTCTGCTTCGCCAAACTCGAATGTGTGATTGGTTATCGTCGAATGAGTCTTGACTTGGGAGTTGGCGTCGCTCCTCCTCACTGCTGCCGCGTGCTCGGCCGACCGCGTCCGGAGTAGTCTTCCGGTTTCTTCGTCATAATTGCTTTGCCTAAAACTGCACCAAACCCGGTAAACGACTCCAGATGTTTCCTGCCGTGGCATTGGGTCCTTCGGCTTCATGATCTGGCGCCTAATGGCTGCCCCGGTCTGTGTGCAACTCCAATTTCAAGGGGCGTAAGGAGGCGGCTGACGGCTTCCGAGACATTCTTCACGTACGGGAGAGCTCGCCAAAATGTGGGGCCGGTTGGATTTTGTCTCTCGCCTCGTTTACACAGGCATTGCTTGACGAATTTGCGCGGGTAGTCATCCATTCTAAGCACCCGTCGAAGGTATTATACTTCTGCAACCTTGTCTTCCGGTTCACTACAGTGAGTCTCTACCCGCTGGTATAGCACCCTTATGCAACTGGGTGGTTGCTGTTGTAGCTCAGTAGTTGTGTCGTGTTTGTCGCTTTCCTGAATACGAGCGTGTAGTCAGACTTGCTATGACATGATATGCACTGGTGTGCTATGAGGATTGATTCCCTGGTCTCGGCGTCATTCTCTCTCTCTCTCTCTCTCTCTCTCTCTTCTCACCATTATACACCGGTCGATTGTCAGAGCCTCTTAAACACTTAGTAATAAGGTTACTAGGTGACCTGTAGTACACACAATGTCTGAATTTCACGTTCAAAACAATTTTAAGCAACTTAATAAAACCGTCCGTGCATTTCCCTGCTTCGTTTGCAACCAGATAGTTTATTTTCTTTTTCTCGAGTTTTAGGTGATGAACTAAGGAAGATTTCTGAATTAGTTCAGACTTTTCGCAAACTTTGACATGGTTCATGGGTTTGGTGCATGCCGTAAGGGAGCTTTCCTGGATGAAAACACCTTTAGGCAAACTAGTCTATTTTTTGGGAGTCTTGATTCATACTACACTAGGCAGTGGTCGAGATCTCCGACTAGGAGAAAACGTCGAAGGAAGAAGCGTAATATGAGCCAGAATAAAAATGCATAGACGATGTGCTCACCAAAAGCATCCCGGCTGTCACTGGTAAGACAAAGCTATAATAACTTGTCTTCCACTTGGCAATGGCCGCAAAGCGTTCCTTAGTAATGCCAGCCAGTCGTCCGGGAGCGAGTTTGGCAACTTTTGGTGCCGTGACGGTCTCCGTCTCGCCATTTTCTGTCGGTCGCGGTGTCTGCGGTGCGCTATTGGCTAGGATATCCAGGGCCTGCCCAAGACAAGTGAAGTGAGCGCAGTCGCCAAACAACCTAACTAGCTGAAGACCAACTTCCCGCAAGGCAGCGGTCTCACCCAGAACGGAGAAGAGGATCTGTTGGGCACAAAAGACGAGATGCAAGCCGTCATTCACGGAGATCAGACCCAGGCCCGCCGCCCTCTGAAGTTCAGGCCAACTGGTACGACCCCGACGCATGGGTGAATTGTCAATCAGGTCATCGTGAATGAGGAAGCCGGCTTGGATCTACAAAGGTGTGGACAGGTGAAACTGAAAGTGAGCGAGTAGCAGCCTACCAACTCAATGCACCAACCGACGAGGTTCGCCATGCGCGTGGTCACGACTTGCTCCTCTTCGCTGGAGAAGGCCTTGAAGGCAGCTACACAGAGTAGTCCGCGGATCTTCTTTCCGGTGGGCACATTGTACCTGGCCGACTTAAAGTGGAATTGGTTTTGTGGAAACTGGAAAGACGTACTGCGAGGAAGTGTTCCTTTGCAGGAAGGAGCTGCTTATCGAGATGGGAATACAGAAGGTCTATTACTTCATCAAAGTAACTGTCGAATTCGGCTCTTAGACTCGAAAGCATGCTCATTTTCAGACGTTTGCAGCTAAAAGGAAGAGGATAGTATAGTGAGTCCAGCAAAGACAGGTCAGACGAGTGTTATAAAGTTATCTGAGAGGCACAAGAATACCAAAAAATAAGCATTAAGAGGGCACGTTGTATGTATCAAAAATTAAAAACACATTTCATCGTGTATGTTTAAATACGATTTTGAAGTCCATGTTGTGGTGCTCGCGGAAAACGAGCTGCGCAATCCTGGTTTAGCAGGGCAAGTAGGCTGAAAATGGGCTTTCAGGACTGGATAGTGGAATGAGTGAACCTTCATCGGTCGATAATAAGTGGCCCCACCAATACAATGTTAGTGCTTGTTGCTTGCTCTATGTCAAAAGCCCAAACTCGATTCCTCTGGAAATCAAGATTTCGAAGTTAATTCCCGTTTCCGCCTTCATAGCGACCTCTATAACTTCCGCGTAAGGCATTTTATGACAACCGTCCCCTAGGAGTCGACGAACCAATCATCACTTCATTGGGAGCCAATCAATGACCTGCTATCGTGCGTGTGAGTGAAAGGACGCCCTATCAACTTCTCGTTTGCACCTGGCATGGTGGGGCTTAGTCAGTCGACTGTTCAGTCAACCGCCTTATTAGCCGCTTTGGGTTTGGTTCTCGATACGACAATGACGAATGTGTGGCAAGTCTTGTTAAACGGAACTGCGTGCCTATCAGCGACAAGTGCTTCAAACATCTGTTGACCCAATATTCCTACGATGGTCTTGCGGTCAGCCAGTTAAGTTCGGTTATCGCACGAGAAGGGAGTGTGAAATCGACAACGTCTACGGAGCAGAACATGTTTTCGTCAGCGCAAGCCCGAAGGTTCGCCTCTTATCCGTGACCAAAATGCGGTGCTAGACACCTCAACATCGTACAATTACGGCATTCCAACTCAGTCGTCGCTACGAACGGAAGGCCTTCGTCTCAACCTGCTGTCCAAATCGAGAGAAGACGGTGGAGAGAGGTCTTGGATTCCTGGTGTGGCACCGCAAAGACCAAATCAGTCCAAAAACTCTCTAGTTGTCTGTCCGGACAACTCAAGTTATCGGACTCCATAAAATAACGGCAAGACGACCAGAAAAGACCATAAGACTACTGAGTCAACATGACTTCCATGGGGTAGGTCTCAGGCTTTTAACAACATGGAACAGTTCCACCGAATAATCCTCCTAGCCAGCAGTAGGTCCCACACACTGAGTGAGTCTTTCCGATGCAAATGGTGGTTTAGATGCTAGAAGCTTGGCAACATTGAGTGCCGGAGTGAACACTTCAAGCGCATTGTCAACTCTGACGACAAACCCATTCTCACCTCCCTATCAGAGACGGGGCTCCTTCTTTCTCCTGCCTATTGTGTTGTGTGGCCCTCCTTAGGAAAAGATAACATACGTAATACTGAGGCTGATCAAAAACAAGGCGCTAGAAGAGAACAGTTTTCCTGTGAAATTCTATATGCACTGCCTCAAGACTGACGCTCTGGCAGCATAAGGTAAGTAAACAAGCATGAGAAGTCGAGATCGCTATAGAACTTAGCCACTCTTCTGTCTTTCTTTAGGAATGAAAATAAGACAGAACGCAAGAACACAGGCCTTGACCATCTCCACTCTTTGGCGGTCGTCGATGGACAGTACTCTTGTCCAGATCTGGACTACTTGAAAAGTCCTCTCGAACGAGGTAGTCAACGCACGTCGCGACATCATGGGGATACTTCACATCAATTTGGGCGCGTCCACTGTCGCCTGCCCGAGTTCCGTGCGGTGGCTCTTAATCCTACGCCATCGCCACCACCAACCTAGAGACAACAAACAGAACATTGGCTCAAAACCTATTTCTACACTGTCTATCAAGATAAGATGGTCCTCGCAACCATTATATTCGGCCTTTATCGGTGGAGAGGCGTGCGGAGTCCACTATATCGGATATGGAAAGGAATTATCCAAAGCAAAATCGAGGCATTTGACCAACGTTTCTTCTGTTGTAAAAGAAATGCGTAAAACACGACCGGTCCATGTCCTTGCTGGAGAAAAATGCACTTCGTCATATAAGAAGCATCTGCACACTAATGTTGTCGGCGGCTGACGAGGCACATCAACGTAAGCAACGCAACGGACTGAAGTGAAGATAATCTGGCGCTAGAAACGCGCTAGTACGCGACCAAGCACTACTGATTCATTTGTCAGAGGCATAGCACATCCGAAAGAAGAATACACGAAAGAACCTAGACCATAGTTTTACGCAGCACTTCATGACTAAAGTAGCTCAGACATGACGGAACATCTTAAACCAGTCGGAAAACAAGCCTGGACAGGGCTCATCAAACAGCCCTACGTTCAACACATAGAACCTTGTCTACAAGAAAAAAAACGTGGTCTTGGGACTACACTGACTAGTATGAGGTACCTTGCTCAGGCGATAGACATAGCACGGCCAAACTGAATATCCGGCTCGGAAGAAGGAGCCCCCAACAATAGGTCCGTTCTAGAACTTACAGGACTCAAGTATTCAAGGTTACCATTACGTAGGTCGACTTGAGTGGCTAGGGGTAGAGAGTGCAAAAATGAAATGCAGCGCCCTGCCCCTCCCCCTCCATCAAATCGGTCTTACTGTCTGCCTGCAATGCAGGGAATGTAACCATCCATGGAAAATTCTGAATTGGGCAGAATATTAGTAGCTCACATCTCAGTCACACCCACTGCAGACGACAGGGCCTTTCTGCCAACAAAGTTCGTCCTCAAACAGGGAAACGACCTTCACCGAGGGTCTGTTACAAAACCAACAGGTTCTCGGACATAACCAATGACTCTTTGTGGATCATACAGCGGTAATACTTTTAGGTGTGATTGGATGCCGATATAACCGACTAGAAACATATAAAATGGTTACGGACCAAAACAGTACTAGGCAGAAAACGCTGTCTGCAAGCCTGTAAGGTTTTTTTCCGCCGTTGTTGCATTGCACCGGCCAAAGTAATGAGTGTACCTCAGTTGTCCAAAATAGAGCAAAGTTTCAGTTGGCAGAAAAAACAAGGGAGACAAACAGCGGGGGGAGAGACTAGCTACCCAGAAACTGCTACCGCAATCTCAGGCAGAGGTGTCAACGGCTCAGACTAGTGCGCGTACCGACCGTGTAAGGGAATGCCTGAATGTTCATATACAGCATGTGACCACTCGCATGAAATGTTGGCCGAAATGCTGAAGTGCGTTTTCGACCAGGAAGGATTACGTGGGTGGGGTTGTAATACTGGTTATCATGCGGCATAATCCTATAATATTTCGGACTCGCCAGGATGTTTGCTTTCGAGTGTACTTCTTTCCCACCCCCTGTAAAGACTGCACTCGACAAAAATGGCTACTCAAGGAGTATGCATTTTTCCCAATGCTTTCCGATTTCCTTATAAATTCAAATGTATTTTATAGCAGACATGCGCAGAAATGTGTTTTCTTTTACTCGTTTGGTAGCAAATCACGTAGTCTTCACATTTTATACTCGAAGAGAGGAGTGCCTTTCGGTTAAAAAAGGTTTCTAATTATGACACTTACGACCGTGCAGCATCCATTCATACAGCATCGTACCCGTCCTTTTATAAATGCAACTCATGAAGTATGCAACACAGTCCGCATCCATCGCAAAACTTTATGGACTGTACATGGTATCTTCTTAAATGCATAGAGGAACATATGATTTTCCTTAAGCGGAAAGCATACACGTTTTAGACTGAAATCAGTCAGCTCCATTAGCCTCAGGTCGCTTTCTTGGGCATGTAGGATTTAAAACTGGCCTCGGTACCGACCCTGGGAGACCTCTTCAGATGCACGAGTGACCGACGTCGTAATTTTAGACAGGCGTGTGGTTCATTCTAAGGTTGCCTTCCAACTACTGCGGTTCATCTTGTTAAGATTGTATCTCACCTCAACCGTTTAACGAAAAAGAAACGCGCTTTCGCGTGAACAACGGAATCCTCACAAGTGTTGTCTTCTCTAGAAGACAACCTGACCTCTGCCGCCCCCCCTCCCTCCCCGATGGCGACGACCTGAACCAGCGGTGCACAATAGCCCCAGAAGATAGATTTGTCATTGGCGCAGTTTTGGCCAACCTGAGGCAGACTGTTCATGCGAACACATAACAGCTTATGCCAACCAATGTCTAGACGAGATGCAACGTCACTCCAGTACCATACGACGGGATATGCTTGTTCTAATACCTTAGTCGGGAAATTCCGAACTTTGACGATCGCGAGACATTCTCGCCCGCTAGTTTCTGACTCCAGGGTCCTTGATAGCATTTGGTCGCCCAGGGCTTGACACTTGCTAGCCCGTTTGACTTGCGGGCTAGTGCAGGGCTGGTAACCTGACTGGCTGATAGTGCTCGATCTACGCGAGGAAATGAGCTTTTCTGCTATGCCCCCCCCCTTGATGCTCACCCGAGTGCATTTTGCACGCCACGCCTGGGGGTCCCCTTGCGTGTACGCACGCATGCAGGGTGCACGCACGCACCGTGTCCGGAATTTAGGCCCTGTCTGGCGACTTAAATAGCCCTGGGCTATAACGCCCTCAACTCACCCAAGAAGGCGTGTCAATCTACTATCCCCGTGCGGAAAGTGTTCGCTAGGATTGCTGAAAAAAATATGGTCTATCGCAACACTAGCCCGCGACCGGGCTAGCCCTGAACGAGTAGAATGCTATCAGGGGTCAAGATGACCTTAAGTGGCTACAAAACTTTGCGGAAGTTGAAAGCCAAACTGCTAATTTGTGGACCCAGAGGTGGAACCTGAAATGAGTGAGGACGATCATTAGGATTAAGCTTGTGTGACAGGAGTAATGTCCGTAATGCGACTGGCTGACTATCTAAATAACGACACGCAAACGAACCAATGAGTATGGACACAACTAAACGACCAACGAATTGGATATAAAGTAGGCTGACAAAACAAACGCCACGGCATAACAAAATAAACAAATATGCTGAGTCATTTAAAGCTACTAAGAGAATAGGAGAATAAAATCATGCTATAGCGTTGTTTGTGACTTAGTAGTCTTGATAGGCGTCATTAGCCGCGTTTTCTACAGGTTAGCGTGTTTCCGCAGCCATCCATGGTATTACTGGGATTCGCATATTTCTTTGAAAAATCTGATGGGGCTCCACATCATTCTGACCAACGAAACAAAGCATAGGCATGCAGAGCAACCTCTATTTCTAATGAAACTGATAAATGCATTTTTCGTCGGCTTCGCTGGAAGGCTGAACTTTGACATTTGCAACACTGTTGCCAGGCCTTAGAACCCAGGTGCACCAAAGTCAACGTTTTACACACCGTCATTTCAGGAGACCCACGGCTCTTTAGCGCTCAGACGGTAGTATTAATCGCTCTCCATTCTTTTACGATAAGTTATATTCGAATCAAAGAAATGTATTTTGTTCCCAACATAGTCGGCGAAAGACAGATATGACCTGTACCACTGTTTATGTACTTTGGTGAGGTTTCCTATCTTATCTGTGATATTATCGTCGTACGACACTTTCGCTCATTGGACACAATGGGAATGCTGACGTTGGCACCGTCACCACTTACCCTAAATGTACGGCGAGAGCGGTGTAAGACTCCTTACTGCCATGCATCACCGACGACACTACGTTGAGAATGCTTGAAAAGAAAAAAACAATCAAGACAACAGACGATTGTAAATCAGATTTTACTTATAATTTTTAGAAGGTGATTCAAACGGCAAGTGATACGTTTGACTAGATCATACGTACGTCTAAAATTATTTCTAGTAGACTATTCCGAAAAACCCTTGACTTCTATGAGAGACACCATATTGTATTGCCGGGTCCCAGGTTTTTCATGGTCATTGCTGCTCGCCGAGACCGGATGACGTCTCTGAACTTACATGCACAAGTCACCTACGCGGCCACCCGTGCAAAGTAGTGAGCGAATGTACAGCGACTTGATCAATAAACATTTTCTCCAGCCAACGATTTGTCAAAGCGCTGAATTTTCTACCAAGTGAGATGGTGGCAGCCGCTACTAACTTTGGTGTACAAAAGATTGTTTGCCAAATTTTTGACGAAAGGCGCCTTTCGTAAAAAAACGTTGGCATCCCTAAGTAGACTGCGCGCGCCATTTGTGATAGCTTGAAACACGTGAGATGCGCAGGTGAGTATAAATACCGATTTCTCGAAAACAAGTCTTTTCAGGCCCTGTGTTCCACCACGTCCTTAGGGATGGTCATCGTGCGGGGATCATTTGTTACTGACCACATTTGCTCCTTGAATTGCCTGATAATCCATTCTACTTCGAAACCGTTAGCCTAAGATGCTCACACATACACACGGACTGAGCATGCCAATCTTTATCGGCTACCACAACGCTATAAAATTTAACCCTTTCCTAATTGTTCAATGGATGGTGTGAAAATAAATAAATAGACTGTTTTGATGATTACCCCAAGGGCATTTTCTATGTAACTTACGACAAATTTTCGGGTGAATTTCTTAACAAGTAGGCGGACACTGCACAGTGTTCACTTCGTACTTATGAAAGGCGGTCTTACATGAAAATCTGATGAGGGACCAGTGAAAAAAATCATTGATTTTTTTCGAAAAATAATAATGGACGTGATTTAATTAGTTTTTTAGGAAGAAAAACTCTCGCTCATTGGAAGGTGTGTATCCGGGTCGGACAGGACCGTCCCGCAAGTATGAGTATATAAGGATTTAAAACAGTTCATGTCAAAGTTAAATTCCGAAATCGGATGGAGTTGTTCGATGCGGATGCGATTCTTATACTTTGAGTTGCCAGCAAACGCAGCAGTTAAGGTGGCGAGATAGGAGGGGCCAGGTCACAGTCAGCTTAGAGTCCATGCGAGGAAGGGATATTAAGGACTGCGGAGGTCACTAAAATGTGAGGAGATGCGATCATGACGTTTCTTTGCTGGCCGACTAAACCACTGGCAGATGGGGAAAACTAAGGAGCCCGTTGTGATCGTCAGCTGATCAGTGGGGGTCGACTTTGGGGGATAACTTTTAAATCCACAAAAATTATCGTGCGCGAATGGATATAGAGGGACAGGACAAAATCTTCAAGGGCCTTGGATGGATCAACATAGGGATGTTAGATGTTGGCAGACCCAGGGTGGGACTAACTTATTCGTCGAGAGCTCGAAATCTCAGAGGCCGGAAGGGGTTCCTGATAAGGGTCGCCGAGAAGCGAGACGAAATCGGCTTATAGCGCATGCCTCAGCATTATCCTAGTAATTCTTTGGGAAGCTGGTTGGGAAGGACATTGCGTTCTGGGACTGAGATGTCAAAAGATCGAAATTTATGATGAGATACCCCAAGAAGTGATGCCAGATACAAGGTGAGGAATGTGGGAGGATACGTCAGTTTGGCAACGACGTCCCTAAATTCTCTACGGTCCTTTTTCAGTGCCATGAAGAAGGTTTATCGGGGAGAATGAGGAAAATAACTGTTTAAACTAATCATTATTCAGATGAAAGTGCAGTTTTATCTGAAAAGTATACGGATTATCTGAGGATTGAAAGGTTATTCCAACTAAAGGTGTACCCTGAAGCGACGAAAAGAGAGCGCTTAGAAATTGAAGGAGCCAGAGGCGGTATAATCAAGGAAAAATTGCGACCATTATATGGATGAATATCGGGGGTAAGGACTAGAATCTGAGGAAGGTTTGAACTTTATTAACGCGGAGAAGAAGACAGAAGCCAGCTTCCAGGCTCCGAACATATAGGAATTTTTGTTTAGTTAGCGGGGATCTATTTGCGTAGGAAATATTTGGATGTGCTGCACTTAAGTGTTTTCGTTAAACGCCTTTGCGCATTTTTAATTTTAGAACAGGCAGTCTCGTTCATCAAACCGAAGAAAAGGAAAAATACACCAGAATGGGAAGGACAAACAAAGCCACAAATATTAATAGCCTTGGCCGTTATTTTGTCTATG